TGGAATACTCAATTCATAATATCCATAATTGCAGCTGGAGCATTTGTCAAACCAAATGGCATCACTAGAATCTCGTAGTGTCCGTACCGAGCTCAGAATGAAGTCTTTGGAATATCCTCTTCTTTAATCTTCAATTGATGGTACCCAGTTAGAAGATCGATCTTGCAAAACATTGTATCACCTTTTAACTAATCGAACAGATCATCAATCCTCGGAAGAAGATACTTGTTCTTTACAGTCACCTTATTTAGCAGACAATAGTCTATTCATAATCGTATAGATCCATCTTTCTTCTTTACAAATAACGCGGGTGCTCCCAAGGAAGACACACTCGGCCTGATGAATCCTTGATCAAACAATTCTTGTAATTGAATTTTCAACTCTCGAAGATCAGTCGAAGATATACTATATGGTGCCATCGATATCAGAGTAGTACTTGGAAGTACTTCAATTTTAAACTCAATCTCTCTATCTGGAGGTAATCCTGGTAGTTCATCTGGAAACACGTCTGGATACTCTCTAACAGTTGGAATTTCTACCAACCTCACTTCAGAAGTTTGAGTGTCCAACACGTCGGCCAAGAAATCTTGACATCCTTGCAACAACAATTTCTTAGCAGAAATAGTTAAAATCACGTTAGATAAAGAATTCATCTTTTCTCCAACCACATTACCTTTGTATCTTCCAAGTCTTTCAATATTAATCACTTTAGATGAGAATACACTATAATATGGTAAAGAGATAATCAATCCATGCCCAAAATTATCCCAAATTCCTCGAAAGGTAACTCCATCAAGTTTGTAGGAAACTCGATGCCTTGAATTTTTAGCGGACAATTTCTACTTATCCGCTTGACCTTAGTACTTTGACCTAAAGGATTCGTCGCAATTATATCACTCGAAATATATTCTAAGGAAATACCTTTTGCTCTAATTAATTTTTTACTAATGTATGGAGTGCTCACCTTGGCTATGGAGTCACGACATAATGGAGAAGATGGGAGGAGTTTTCTTGAGTTTTCCATACAATTAAAAATTCATTTTAGCCCAAAAGTCAAATTTAGCCTTAATGAATCCTAATTTTTATCACCATGCCATCCTTTTATCTCCATTTTAATACCATTAAATAAATATAAAAATATCATTTATCAATTTCCATCTTCGCCCTTCCAATTTTCCAAAAATTCAATTTAGTCACTGAATTCCACTATTCTACTTTAGCATGGAAATTCCTCCAAATTCCACTAATTCAAATCAAATTATACTAAATGAAAATACCAATATAATTTTTATAACCTCAAACTTCCTTTCTTCAAATTTTTGCAAGCTTCTGTTTTGATCTGATTATCTGAATATTTTACTGGACTCTATCACTTAATAAACTTTTATACCAACTTCAAATCATAATTCTAAAACCCATTAAAATCATATTCTTCCGCTGAGCTACTCAATTAGATACCCAAAATATAACTTTTGAAAATTTATATTTTTATTTCCTGAACTTTTACAAATTTACACTTTGATCTTCAAACTTTTGAAATTTACTTTTCAATCACCTATCCAAAATTTGAGATATTACATATATAAAAATCAAAAGAAATAATATGGAAACATGAACTTACCTAGAATTTTAAGAACAACCCTCAATATGATTCAAGCACCACAATTGATGATAAACAATTGTGACTTTGTGTTTATCAGAAATATTAAAAATTAAAAAGTGCAAGTAATAATTTTCAAAGGAATTGTGAAATATGGAGAAAAAAAAGCAAACTAACTATACTTATAAATTTTCTCCCATTGAGTTTTGAAGAGAGAAAAAATAACGTTGATACAATTTTTCATTGACATAGAAAATCGGAAAAAAGATTTGTTGCATTGATGGTGGGAATTTGGGAATACCAAAATTAAAGAGATTCAATTTAATTTTTTTTTTCTTGTTAAATTTTGAAAAAGAAATATTGAATTAGAGTTTTATTGGAAATGGAACAATTTATTAGTATTAATATAAAAATTCAATAATTATAATAGACACCTTAATAAACTTATGGGCCTCATTCTTTTATTTTACGGCTTTCAAAATTTCTTATAAAAAAAATAAGGAAAAATATTATACTAACAATATTTTTTAATTTATAGACATGGGCGGGCACTCCTTTAGCCTTGGCCCATGGCCGCCCTGCATACATATACAAAAGAAGAAGCTTAGAAAAGGAAAAGAGGCTCAAGTTTGTGCTATGGTCCTCAGAGGCGTGCGGTGGAAGATCAAAGGCGGGTTATTGAGACACTAGAACATGTAACAATGGCTATGCAAGTGGAGGAGACTCCTTCGGATAATCTTTTGGTTTAGCGTTTTATTTATAATGAGTTTTGGGACTTTTTATGTAATTTTATCTTTTAAAATATCCTCTCTTTTTTTCTGTCTTTTGCACTATTGGTGTTTTCCATTTTCTGCATGAACGCTTTGTTATGTGAGTGAGTTTTAGATTCTCGCCCTCGCTTGTAAAATGTTTTAACCTTATCGAAATATTGAATGCAATTTTTGCTCTTTAACGCGTCACTAAGAATCTTGGAATCTAGCCTTGGGCAAATAATTTCTAAACCAGTCAGAGAATACACCTTGCGGAGGGAACTCAAAGCTTGGTTGAGTAGGTGTTTAGGTCAATGGACTGTTAGTGGAAGACCTCAAAATTTTTGTTTGTTCAAGTTCGCACCTTGGACGTTTTTAGATTTTACGGAGTTATCTAAGAGGTTTTTCTAAATTCGCATATATATTTTCCTACGGAGGGTGCTCGATGCTTCAGGGATATCTTTCTAAGTTCGCACCTTATGTGTTCCCTCTGGAGGATGCCCGATGCCCCTAGGACTTCTCATTTTTCACAGGTGAAGTTTCCTCCAGACCCGTGTTTATTTTCTCACTTAGGGCTTTCATTGTTTCGGGATACTTTTCAGAATTCAAACACGAACGGAGTTATTTTCCAGACCCGTACATATTCTCTATGGAAGATTCTCAATGTTTTTGGTGGGAATTATTTCTACATTTTCTAGATGTGAAGAATTAAATTTCTTCGAACTTAGCAGAGGAATCTTTACTCTATTTGACCGACAGGAGGGTATTAATATTATTGATTGCTGGAGGTATTTCCACGTCTTCGGCCATGGAGGAGACAACTCAACACCCTCGGTGTAGTCAAATTGACAGATGGATGTTTCGTTATCATGGTAGAAGCAATGAGAATGTATTTATCCCCCTTGCCAATGCAAAGATATCTCTACACCATGGCAATACTATGGAGGTGTCTCAATGTTATCGTAATAAGAAAAAGGTCACAAGTACACCCAAGAAAATGTCGATAAAATATGCTGAAAACGTACCTTGCCATAACTTCTATTTTTTAACAGAGGAAAAAGAACATCGATATTTGTATGTTATTAAGATATGTTATTAAGAATGTTTACCACATCTCATGTATTAGCAAAAAATTTCTCTGCGTACCTACGTGAGGTTCATCGTATTGCTATGTGATAATTGACGACAAATATCAATCATTGCTTACTCGTATGTGCATGTCTTCTCGCATTTTCTAGACCTCGTCTTGGCATTCTGCACTTCATGTATACTATAGGAATTAAAATTATCTTGATTGGAGGTCGTGTACCTTCATTATTATCCTTGCTAAAGGTGAAACAGGTATAGCATAACTCATGGGAAAAGTTCAATTGTATCAGGGGTCTTCTTTCTGTCGTATGTTGTGTTCATGTTGCCAAAATATGCCTCTTGCATTTCCTAAGTAGCATCGGGAGGAGGCGTCTCAGCAGGTCGGGAATTATGGTAAGGAACAATTTGCTCCTATTGATGGGGCCTTTCGGTGTTAGAAGTTAGGAGTTGTGTATGCCAGGTTTTCATTTGGTCGTGCAAATCATGAGTTTGTTAGCCAGGATTAGAGTTTTGTTGACTCATAGTCTGCATGACAGTTGAAGTTTCGATGTAGTTCTTTAGAACAAACGGGTTGAAGGAATGACCAGTTTAGAAGGATCATCGTGATTGATTCTTTTCTGATGGGAAATGTTCCACATTCACCAAATCCGTTGTTGATAGGAACAAGTTGGTTGTGTAGGCTATAGACAGTTCACCCCTTCTGCTTTGGGTAAAGAGTCGCAGCAGATGGTTAAATGATCGTTAGTCGGTATGAAAAAACCTTTCTTTTATGAGAAAGAAGGGTGGATGTGGAGATATTGGATCTTAATCCCCTCTCTTCATCTGGATCGAGAGGTTTTATAGTAAGAAAAAAGGGTGTCTGTGTCTGAAGTTGTTCTTCCGAGACTTCTATTACAAAAATTTTTCTTGGAGGTCTTGATGTGCGGAGCAGTGGAGATTTGAGAAGGGTATATCACCATTATTTCTATATGGTAGCTTGGTCATATAATTAAACTTTTATGTACTTGTACGTTAATTAGTATTACAAAAATCTCAGTTTGAAAATCCTAGTTTAAATTTGAGTAAAAGTAGTTAAATTTGAAGTTGAGCATGAAAATTGAACTTATTCGTACTAGGTGAGCCAAATTAATTGAACTTGATCGAACGAAGTCAATAATTTAGTCTTTATCTCGAATTTAAAACCAAACTTTAAATCTCAAAAATCGAAATTGAACCAAATATATAACCCCGAATTTCTTGTCGAATACACGCTCAAATCATTTCACGGTTTGAGCGTAAACGAATAGACGAACGCATAATTTTATGATAGAAGACGAATTTATAAAATTTTAAAGGGGAACGAAATTATAAAATTTTAGGAGGAGCGAAAATATATTATTAATAGAAAATACACATAAAAAATATAAAATATAAGAGAATTTGAAAATTTCAATGGACAACTGCCCTCTCGGTTCATCCCTATTTACACGTCCTCAGCCATAACAATGTGTTCTTTTAGCAAAGATGAACTTTATCAAAGCAACTTTGAGTATTTATAATAAACACGTTAGTTTTTTTACCTATTCTCTCAGTTGATATATGCAGCACCCAGCAAATCATCTATGTTCAAATTCATGTCATAGTACATCGACATACATACAAGCATATACATATAAATATACACATATTTAGGCATCAATATGTACATGTTAGACAGGTTTCAATTTGGGTTTGGTTGGATTCAAGATTCCAAGTATTGGAAGCGGTCTTCAATGACTTCTCCTCATGATGAACTTGTTCATCGTTGATGTTAAGCTCTTGTACTTCTAATATCTCCACTCTGCGATTCGTCTTCTTCCTTATTTTGATGGCCACATCTCGAGGGTTGAATTTCCCGCAAACGCTAACCCTACATTGCTTCTTCTCTATCAAATGCGTTTCCAACTCTACACACACATCAACTTCAAACCATTATTAAAAAGATATAGTGACGAAAATTGTCTCTAACATTTGATTAAATAGCTGTTTTGGCTCCTATTTTTTTTTAAGCACTTTGACCCCAACGTTTCATTTTAAGGAAAAAATATCACTTTGGCTCCCTACGTTTTATTTTAAGATAAAAAAGTCATTGACATTTGACTAAATAATCATTTTAGCTTTTTTTTTTTGTGTGTGGCATATTGACCCCCAACGATTCATTTAAAGGCAAAAAAGTTTTTGTTTTGTGGGATTAACCATTTGTTGACTAACGATTTTCATATACAAAGAGTCTTTTTGCCTAAAAATGAACGTAGAGGGCTAAAATGCTCTAAGAAAAAGAATTAGGGCCAAAGTGACTATTTAGTCAAACATCGGAGGCATTTTTATCATTATGCCATTAAAAATGCTTGAAATTGACCATCTTTAGCGTTCTCACTAAGCATGTTCTATGAAGATGATGAAGATTTGATCTCACCTTTCATATCAAGGAGGGCTCTTCTCACTTTTCTGTAACAACCATTGCAGTCGATGTTGATCCTCATCACCATACAACAAAACTGCAAAAGCATGATATGTTTTTGCAGAGAGATTAATATAAATGAAGAGTTGATTTAAAAGAATAAATCAAAACATTCTGAAAGAAAGTGGGGGAAAATGGTGGGGAACTTGCCCTTTCTGTCATGAAGCCTGCAGACTGCGAGCAGGCGTCTCAGGATTCCAGGGAAATGGGGGGTTTTATACTACAAGAAAGTTTGTGTTGAAAGGCAAAATGATGGGAATTTGTTTAGAATGAAAAAGGAATCATGAATAAACTTGTTAAACACAATTAAATACACCAAAGATTGTTATTCAAATCGCGTAATTAAACACCATAATCGAATTGCGCAGCGAGTTTGAAATACAAAAATCAATCATAAACCCTAAATATCTTTTAATCTCTATAATAATCGGAATCTGATTCTTTTATAGGGTAGCTTATTGCCTATTATATATTCTTGACCTATTGGAGTTGTTCCTGTAAGTACATAGTTCCATTTCTCTTGTTGGAAAAGGCATCAGTTTATTGCTTATTTGCTAAGCTTTCTTCCCTTTCACACAAGGAAAAGGCATAACTTTGGACTTAAATTTGTCCCAAATCCAATTAAAGACAGAATAATTTTAGCTTAAAAGATCAAAAGAGCTCAATATTCATGGGAATTTCAACTTTGCTCTGCAATATATGCTAACTGCCATACTTGTAACATTATCTCAAAATCATTCAGATACAGCATTTTCAAAGAGAAATTACAAACATCAGCTATATAAATCTAGGGGGAAAAGGAAAACCATATAAGTTCCAAGTGATTTGTTTTCCCAATCCAGATATATGCAGGCCCTTTGTCCATGTTATGGCAACTACTCCAAACTGGGTGCAACTTCAGTAGGGTTAGATTCGAAGACATCCGAATTAGAGGCATCGGGTTGTTCTAAAAGCTCTTGAGATTGGATCGACTCTTTGTATGCAGGAGTCTCCTTAAAATCTGTTGCCCCTTCGTTGTAAGTTGCAACGGCAATCCCACAAGCAATCAACTGATAAAATAGAATGCAGGAAACTTAATCAAAAAATACAGAAATCAAGCAGTGTATTTTACATGTTCCATGGGTACCAATGAATCGTGACATAAACGACTCGTACACACATCTTTTCCAAAAGGAAAAAAAACAATATACTAAGGGCTACACATGGGTTTATTGTATTTGTTGCTAAAATGCCAGTATTAAACTCGAACTCTCAGTGGATTCCCAGTGACCCAAGGGAAGGGAAGAAACTTTCCAGCAATGAAAAATATGTTCTTTTCATTCATCAAATGATATGGAAGCTTTTCAACTATCACAAATTAACAAGCATGGAAACAGTGTCGTCTCGGACATTTTCGGAGTCCTATCAAAAATGAGGGCCTTGAGCAATCGCTCAATTATAAAGATAGAAAATAAAATTTAAAAAATTAGAATCTTCAATTATAAAGATAAAAAATAGGATTAAAAATTTATGGGGTCCTACAAAAAGTGAGGGCCCTGAGAAATAACTCAAGCTTCCCTGTGTATTAACTTGTAAATCTTTTACCAAATATTTTTCCCACCTAATTACCTAGTTAAATGCTTTCAAGTTATTCAACAATATGAAAGACACTATTCTTGACCAATTGTCTTCAAAGAAATATATAACTTGATCTGCAACAGGTGAGGAGTTAATAAGAAACTCAGATCAATCATCCACAGAACTTCTCAAACCCTATTTTAAGTAATCCAGGAATGAATCTGCAGATAGTCCACATATCATGAAAGAGCGCCTTATCCATTTAGACATTAAGAAAAAAAGAAGGCTCATATAACTTCCAATCTTTAGCAGTTTTTGCTCATTAAGATCAGCTCTCAATTGTGTTTAAGTAGTTTTGAATCACATTGATATTTCTTATTCCCTGCCAAATGCCATTCTAACCAAATGTTTTAACATTCTATAAAATTTTCATGCAAGGAAGACCGGGGGAGGATCATTAGTTTCCTTAAGTGTATGCTAAAATAAAATTCTAGACCAAAAACACAGCGTGAATTCCATGTTTGACCACAGTTGGAAGCCCTATTTTTACTTTTGATTGGTGCATAATCAGGGCTCTCAACCAGGTGCTGCAGGCTGTCTACATTCCATAATTCCCATCCTATATTACCTGGAACGCAAATCAGCCCAATACGAGAAACGAAAACTAGAACGTAAATCGCTATTTACCAGTAGGCAGTAATTCCCATCCTATGATACATAATTATTGATAGTTGTAGTTCCCTATTTGAATTCTGAACTGAATTCTCCAAATCCAAACCGAAATTCAAATTCAAAAAATTTCCTTTACCCTGTATGCTGTTGTTATACCGCCAGAGATGGTCTCCAGAAACTACCAGCTCTCTGTCAATTGAGGTCACCGAATAGATTCCTATGATCACCGGAGCTTCACAGAGATTCATCTCATAGGCTCACGTGATTTACTAGAGCCAAATCCAAACTCTGATTAGTATATCTATTTAATTTGCAGACCTACAAACGATAGTTATAATTACCCTATGTCTAATTAACCATTAATAAATATCCCTCAGTGAAAGATGATCCTTCCACTCCTTTATAGAGACTCCATCTAACAACCGAGGAAACAAACTTATTTCTGAAATTTTTATTCAAATAAACTAATTTTAATCCTTTATAGGTCCACATGAATTCAGATATCGAAAATTTCAGGCATCATCACAACAAAAAATGAACAACGAAAAGATAAAAGAAGGCAGCGTTAAGAGCTTTGAGAATTACCGCAAAAACGATGCCGAAAGCCCACAAATACTGAACAAGGAAACCAAGAACATCCCATTGCCGACCTTCAAATGGATCCGGATGAAGACCTGGAAGATCAGGAAACGGCTTACCATCAGCCGAAACCGCAGACGAACTCCCACCAACTCCAACGTTATCTAATCCAACTCCAATTCCAACACCACCATCATTTTCTTCTTCACTCCCAACCGTCCATTTTCTCTCCAGCTCTTCATCTTGTTCTTTGGTCGTGAGATTGCTCCTCCTGTTCTTGCTATCGTAGCGTCCGGTTCGGAACTTTTTGGCAGCTGAGGTCAAGTGAAAGGTTCTGGGGGAGGTTGGGAAGAGAAGGAGGCGGCGGCGATGGGGGAGAGCGACAGGTAATTTGTTGGGGTGGAGGAGTCGGACCCCATTTCCTGTGCTGCAACTACTACTGCCATTGCTAATGGTCAAGGTTAGCGCCATTTGAGTGGAGAGCAGCGAGCAGGATAAGAATTACAAGGTTTTTTTATTTAATGGTAATGGTTTATTATTTTTGTTTTTTTTAAAGAATATCGTATTTGGTTTTATTTAACCAATGGGCTCTCCCCAATCTGACCGGACCAATTTCTTATATATACATATTCGAAAGAGTTAATTGTATCATATATCTTTAAATTATAATATTTTTTTAAATTGATCCCGATAATTTTTAAATGTTTGAATTTTATCCTTAAACAATGACTTTTATTATAAATTAGTTTTTAAACTTTTGAACATTTTATTTGTATCCCCAAACTACATCATTTGTTCTAAATTGATTCTCAAACTTTTTCAACATTTTAATTTCATCACAAACTATATGTATATACTTAAATTCGTTATTATGTCTTTGATTTAACTTAAATTTGGGATGATATTATGCTAATTGCCTTATTTGCATGTCTGCTTCCATGCGAGTTAGGTGTTGTAGTCTTCGTTATTTTGTTGAGCAGATTCAATATGACCTTATCCTACAAAGCTTTTGTGATATTTCTACGGTGCTTTTCTTCGGTTTTTCCCTGTTGGAGTGATGGCGAAGCTCTCTTGATATTCAGCTTTGTCCACCCGAGAGTTGTTTGAAATACTGGACAAGCTAGTGGCATAATTTCTCATTGTTTCAGCATAGTGATAACGATAATGTTTGAACTCTTAATGTGTTAAGGGAGTTCTCCTATGTTCAAGATTGAGGAAAAATGTGAAAGATAGATATGATCATGATGTTATGAGGTTGCTACTCATGTTCTACATATTCCCTCGATGACCATGAATTTGGTGGATGTTCATGCACAGAGCCGGTCCATTGAGTTTTAATGCCCTGGGCGAGATAATAATTTTATGCCCCTATACTTGTATTGTATAATAGACAAAACATAAATAATTTTTTAAAACAAAAATGTAATGGAAATCATAGTCAAACAATATCAATACTAATACAAACCAAAACCTACAAGGTTACAAATATCACCTAAAATGATGCCTTTGTGCATTTTTTAAAGCAAAAACCTCTATTATTTTATGATAATCAAAACTTTGTAAAAATTGACCTTCGATGCTTAGAATTGTTAATCCGTTCAATCTATTTTTAGTCATCATGCTTCGAAGATAGAATTTCAAGAGCAAAATATGAAGCAAAATAGAGCCTCGTCTTTCATGATTTCGTTGCTAAGAGCCTTACAAAGGATGCAAGTCTACGCCCTACTGCATCTGAGATGCTGAAAGTATGGTAACATTTATCTACTTGTATTCCAATAACGTAATCTCGTTTACTTTCCTAATATTAGTTTATTTGGATAAATTACCAAATATAAAAGTCTCTTGTATGTACGTGTACATTTGTTTGTTTAGTTTATTTGGAACAATCTATGCTGACATGTAAAAGAATAAATATATGTATATATATTACCACTACTTGAACTCCAAGTATATGGATTCAAGTGCTTCATGCACTTTGGTGATACTAGGACATGAGAGAAAGGAAAATGCTCTGTCTTGTAAGGGAAAATGCACTTTGGTGTTACATGCAAATGTGGAGCTTCTGTAATGTTACCAAAGATTGAGAATGCAAAGCAAATAAGGGCTGCAATGGAACGTGCACAAGCTCTTGCTCCTGCTGGTTCAGAACTTAATGTATGAATCTTCTTGTTTCTGAATGCAGTTACTCAATTTCTGTTGTATGCATGCGTATTTACTTTACCTGGTACTGACCAACTCCCAATTTGGATCAGACACTTGAAGGTTCATATTGATGCCCCTCAAACATGCTGCCTTGGGCTAATGCCCATCTGACACATGTATTGGGCCAGGCCTGTTCATGCAATCTTTTTTCGACTCTTGTGTAAGCGTGGAGCACATCTAATAAAACTAGCCTACATATGTCATTGAGGATTAATAAAATACTCGCATCATTTGAAGTTGGGGTGTTCATTCGGATAAAACTGAACCGAACCGAACCGAAATACCCTTAACCGAATTAACTAATTTTTTTTTATTTAACCGAACCAAACTTTTTTATGAAAGTATTAACCGAACCGAATAAATTTCGGTTAATTTTCGAATTAACCAAATTTTTTTTATAATTTTATAATTTAATATTTTTTAATACATATGTCATTGAGGATTAATAAAATACTCGCATCATTTGAAGTTGGGGTGTTCATCGGATAAAACTGAACCGAAACCGAACCGAAATACCCTTAACCGAATTAACTAATTTTTTTTTATTTAACCGAACCAAACTTTTTTATGAAGTATTAACCGAACCGAATAAATTTCGGTTAATTTTCGAATTAACCAAATTTTTTTTATAATTTTATAATTTAATATTTTTTAATTAAAAAAATAGTTTATAATATTAAACATGCAAAATACTTCATCCGCCATCTTCAAACCCCATTATTCTATGGAAAAAGCATGTTAAAAACTCAAGGTTGAATCTTGTCTCACCAGTAGCTCTATATACATATAAAAAATTTACTTTAAAAAGTAATTTCAATATTTTGATCGACAAAGCGTGCATGACATGCACCATAAACTAAAAAGTTGCAACAAAAAGACATAGAAGAACCCACCTGCCAGGCTGTCATCGAAGTTGATAAAAACAAAGCTGAAACCAAGAACAAGAGAAATGATAATAATTTACACTAGCAGTGTTGCCTCACCCATGCTATGCCTATGTGTGAAACAATATTTAAGGGAAAGAAAATATTTAAGTGGGGGTTAGCAAATTATGGGGTGAAAAAAATATTAATAAATATTTAAGGGCTAATTCGATTAATTTGGTTAATTCGGTTAATTAACCGATTTCGAACTGAATTAACTGTTAACCAAATATCTAAAAAAACATTAATCGTTAACCGACCAAACTAATTCAGTGGCCGATCGAATTAACCGAACTAATTCGGTTCGATCGATTAACCGAATTAGTTCGAAAATTTAAACACCCCAAATTTGAAGAGCTTGTGGCTGCGTGATGTCTTGATTTTGGGTAGTTGAGTAGTTTTATGATTGTCATTGTTGTCTTTAAGTTTGCCTCTCTTTTCTTTCTCCAATTTTGAGAGAACCTTGTCTTGAATCTCTAGAGCATGGAATCATATTTTTTTACTCGTGTTGAATTACTGCTGCAGTAAGAGCTAAAGCCTCTTCCACCATGGGGAGATGAGAATTATTGACTAAATCAGTGCTGACGACCCAATAATTGATGCCTAAGACACCTGGAACAAACTTTGCAGGAACTCTTGTTTTGAGTTTGAAGCTCACTATTTACTGATAATCTCGTCATCATAACATCCTCTAAAATACATTAACACTCTCCAAATATGCTTTATTGTTATTAAGAGTGGGATCAAACAACAATGATGATTTGTTAGATGGAGGGAAAGAGAACCCAAGAGTATATACATTCATTCACTTGGTCGTCAATAATATAAACATGAATTATCAAATAATTTTTAAAACTTATCAAATTAAATAAAATTATTATATAGTTCAATTGTTATCGTATAAATTATTCATTCATTATTGAAATTTTTACTATACATTATTTTATTTAGCCAGATAAATTTATCAATAATCAAATTTAATAATTTTTTTTTTGATAAGAAAGTAGATTTAATAAAATCAAGAGACGAATAATAACTTATAAGCCTCGTTAAAAACCTCCCTAGTCTAATTGGAGGAAAATAGTTCTACATAATAGAACAATACAAACACAATCCAAAATCGACTGCCATGCATACAAAGATCACCACCACCTAGATAAAGACAAGTCAAGAACAAAAAGTACTACTGACCAAAATATGCACAGACTGCACCCATCTAAGAAACAACAACTCTTCAAACCAAAAAGACTTCCTCGACAAATCAATGCGTACAGAGACAGCAAAAACGATTCCAAAAGTTCCAAAGTGGACAGCCATAGAAAGTCGATGAAAAGACCGCAACCAGACTAAAAACAATAAGCAACCGTACTAAAATTCCTTCATCTTGATTGATAACTTCATCCACTATGGGCACATGATCTTTGTTCAGCTTTCTTACCACATGAGAGAGTAACCGTCTTGCAATGCACATGGCCTCTATAATGCACTACCTCGACAACTCTGGGAAGACTTCAAGGTTGCGTCGAAATTAGAATCTAGGCAAAATGACCCAATTGTACCTCCACAACCTTTAACGAAATGCTTATAGTCTAAAACAAATAAAAAGTCAATTCCCTCCATAACCTTTAACGCAGCCCTCTGCTCACATCGATAGTCATGATCGATAAACCATCAGCAAATACCACCTGCAAACCGGCCTCAATTCCCTCCAAAGATGCGCATGACTCCCTCACAACGCCCTCTTGCGCCCCACTAATCTCGTCCAAGAAAATATTAAAACAAAACAAATGAGGCAACGGGAAATGCGATGGTTCCCCACTACACATTGTTTTGTAATTCAAAAATCCAACTACCCAACGCTTATAAAAAACCTGCGCAAAACATTCTAAAACAGCCCAATGTTCCACCTCAACACGCACATGCAATCCACCTCCTACCTCCAATGCACTAAAAAATCCATTTCTCTATCAAATAAAGACAAAATTCAGAAACCCATAACGCACTATGAGGTACTCTTCATACAATTATCCATCAAAAACAACTCAGGACTCAGCCTCAGCTCCCACTACCGCCCCATTACCTACCTCCAAAGCTTCAAAAAATCCTCTCCTCTAACATGTAAAGTCGCGTGCACCTTCCCAATACTCAAATAAAAACAGAACTCATAAACATACCAAGAAATCCTTGATAACATCACTCTAACCTTAGAAAACCAGAACCCACCAAAACACCTCAAAAGCCAAGAAAACGAAATCATGAACATACCAAGAAAACTCCCATCTACGCTCCCAACAAAAGCAACCAATCTAAATTCTTAAACTTACACCAACACCTACTAAAAAATCATTGTAGATAACTTACACACATTAGGAAACTGAACATCTCCCAAAACCAAGACCCCCACTACAAGTCA